GACAGGCAGGCAGGCAGGCAGGCAGGCAGGCAGGCAGGCAGGCAGGCTGGCTGGAAGGCAGGCTGGCAGGGAGGGAGGCAGGCTGGCAGGGAGGGAGGCAGGCTGGCTGGCAGGGAGGGAGGGAGGCAGGCTGGCTGGCTGGCTGGCAGGGAGGCAGGCAGGCTGGCTGGCTGGCAGGCTGGCAGGCTGGCAGGCAGGCAGGCTGGGAAGGAGGCAGGCTGGCAGGCAGGCAGGCTGGGAAGGAGGCAGGCAGGCAGGCTGGGAAGGAGGCAGGCAGGCAGGCTGGGAAGGAGGCAGGCAGAAAGCGATATATGGGTGTTGAAGTGAACCGTGAACCACGTAACCTTTGTGAGTGTGTGTGTGTGTGTATGGGTTTGGGGTGGGGAAGGAGTGTCGGTGGTTGGGGAGGGACCGGCTGACTCCGTAAGCCTAGCCACACTCCACAGACCTGTGACCCAGATTTGTTTCTTAAATGTACAGTACATCATCGTATATTTTTGGCAGGATGTGCCTGCAGGCTGGCAGGAAACATCCAGAGGATGTTTGCCAGACGTCTTAATAATCAATTAGAAACAATTAAGGACTTTTATAAAGTGGATCAGGACTTCACTTATTGGTGAGTACAAACAAAATACGGTCGCATTTACGCTATGAACCTGTCGATTTTTTCCCTAGAGTTTTTTATAAATTTTTCGGAAAAATTTCTTTTTACATTTCTAGTTTATTTTTTCCCCTCTATTTCTTGTTTACAAACTTACATGTTAACCGACGGGTCTTGTCCCCAAGGGGTTCGGAAACCAAGTAGTGCTCTGTGTGTGTGTGTGTGTAATTACCTAAGTGTAGTTACAGGATGAAGCTACGCTCGTGGTGTCCCGTCTTCCAGCACTCTTTGTCATATAACGCTTTGAAACTACTGACGGTCTGGCCTCCACCACCTTCTCACCTAACTTGTTCCAACGTGTGTGGTGTGTGTTGTGTGTGTGTGTGTGTGTATATATATTTATATATATATATATAGATATATATATATATATATATATATATATATATATATATATATATATATGTCGTACCTAGTAGCCAGAACTCACTTTTTGCCTACTATGCAAAGGCCCGATTTGCCTAATAAGCCAAGTTTTCCTGAATTAATATATTTTTCTAATTTTTTTCTTATGAATGATAACGCTACCCATTTCATTATGTATGATGTCAATTTTTTTTTATTGGAGTTAAATTAAACGTAGATATATGACCGAACCTAACCAACCCTACCTAACCTAACCTAACCTATCTTTATAGGTTAGGTTAGGTAACCAAAAAAGTTAGGTTAGGTAGGTTAGGTAGTCGAAAAACAACTAATTCATGAAAACTTGGCTTATTAGGTAAATCGGGCCTTGCATAGTAGGCTGAGAAGTGCGTTCTGGCTACTAGGTACGACATTATATATATATATATATATATAACTGAAAACTCACACCCCAGAAGTGACTCGAACCCATACTCCCAGAAGCAACGCAACTGGTATGTACAAGACGCCTTAATCCACTTGACCATCACGACCGGACAAAATGAGGTGATAGCCGAGGCTATTTGAACCACCCCACCGCCGGCACTCGGATAGTTATCTTGGGCATAGCATTTTACCAAATCACCTCATTCTTAGGGCACACGTGAGGAACACAAATGCGAACAAGCCAGAATGGTCCCCTGGACAATATGCAACTGAAAACGTCACACCCCAGAAGTGACTCGAACCCATACTCCCAGAAGCAACGCAACTGGTATGTACAAGACGCCTTAATCCACTTGACCATCACAACCGGACAAAATGAGGTGATAGCCGAGGCTATTTGAACCACCCCACCGCCGGCACTCGGATAGTTATCTTGGGCATAGCATTTTACCAATCACCTCATTCTTAGGGGCACACGTGAGGAACACAAATGCGAACAAGCCAGAATGGTCCCCTGGACAATATGCAACTGAAAACCCACACCCCAGAAGTGACTCGAACCCATACTCCCAGAAGCAACGCAACTGGTATGTACAAGACGCCTTAATCCACTTGACCATCACGACCGGACAAAATGAGGTGATAGCCGAGGCTATTTGAACCACCCCACCGCCGGCACTCGGATAGTTATCTTGGGCATAGCATTTTACCAAATCACCTCATTCTTAGGGGCACACGTGAGGAACACAAATGCGAACAAGCCAGAATGGTCCCCTGGACAATATGCAAATATGCAACTGAAAACTCACACCCCAGAAGTGACTCGAACCCATACTCCCAGAAGCAACGCAACTGGTATGTACAAGACGCCTTAATCCACTTGACCATCACGACCGGACAAAATGAGGTGATAGCCGAGGCTATTTGAACCACCCCACCGCCGGCACTCGGATAGTTATCTTGGGCATAGCATTTTACCAAATCACCTCATTCTTAGGGGCACACGTGAGGAACACAAATGCGAACAAGCCAGAATGGTCCCCTGGACAATATGCAACTGAAAACTCACACCCCAGAAGTGACTCGAACCCATACTCCCAGAAGCAACGCAACTGGTATGTACAAGACGCCTTAATCCACTTGACCATCACAACCGGACAAAATGAGGTGATAGCCGAGGCTATTTGAACCACCCCACCGCCGGCACTCGGATAGTTATCTTGGGCATAGCATTTTACCAAATCACCTCATTCTTAGGGGCACACGTGAGGAACACAAATGCGAACAAGCCAGAATGGTCCCCTGGACAATATGCAACTGAAAACCCACACCCCAGAAGTGACTCGAACCCATACTCCCAGAAGCAACGCAACTGGTATGTACAAGACGCCTTAATCCACTTGACCATCACGACCGGACAAAATGAGGTGATAGCCGAGGCTATTTGAACCACCCCACCGCCGGCACTCGGATAGTTATCTTGGGCATAGCATTTTACCAAATCACCTCATTCTTAGGGGCACACGTGAGGAACACAAATGCGAACAAGCCAGAATGGTCCCCTGGACAATATGCAACTGAAAACTCACACCCCAGAAGTGACTCGAACCCATACTCCCAGAAGCAACGCAACTGGTATGTACAAGACGCCTTAATCCACTTGACCATCACGACCGGACAAAATGAGGTGATAGCCGAGGCTATTTGAACCACCCCACCGCCGGCACTCGGATAGTTATCTTGGGCATAGCATTTTACCAAATCACCTCATTCTTAGGGGCACACGTGAGGAACACAAATGCGAACAAGCCAGAATGGTCCCCTGGACAATATGCAACTGAAAACTCACACCCCAGAAGTGACTCGAACCCATACTCCCAGAAGCAACGCAACTGGTATGTACAAGACGCCTTAATCCACTTGACCATCACGACCGGACAAAATGAGGTGATAGCCGAGGCTATTTGAACCACCCCACCGCCGGCACTCGGATAGTTATCTTGGGCATAGCATTTTACCAAATCACCTCATTCTTAGGGGCACACGTGAGGAACACAAATGCGAACAAGCCAGAATGGTCCCCTGGACAATATGCAACTGAAAACTCACACCCCAGAAGTGACTCGAACCCATACTCCCAGAAGCAACGCAACTGGTATGTACAAGACGCCTTAATCCACTTGACCATCACGACCGGACAAAATGAGGTGATAGCCGAGGCTATTTGAACCACCCCACCACCGGCACTCGGATAGTTATCTTGGGCATAGCATTTTACCAAATCACCTCATTCTTAGGGGCACACGTGAGGAACACAAATGCAAACAAGCCAGAATGGTCCCCTGGACAATATGCAACTGAAAACTCACACCCCAGAAGTGACTCGAACCCATACTCCCAGAAGCAACGCAACTGGTATGTACAAGATGCCTTAATCCACTTGACCATCACGACCGGACAAAATGAGGTGATAGCCGAGGCTATTTGAACCACCCCACCGCCGGCACTCGGATAGTTATCTTGGGCATAGCATTTTACCAAATCACCTCATTCTTAGGGGCACACGTGAGGAACACAAATGCGAACAAGCCAGAATGGTCCCCTGGACAATATGCAACTGAAAACTCACACCCCAGAAGTGACTCGAACCCATACTCCCAGAAGCAACGCAACTGGTATGTACAAGACGCCTTAATCCACTTGACCATCACGACCGGACAAAATGAGGTGATAGCCGAGGCTCATTTTGTCCGGTCGTGATGGTCAAGTGGATTAAGGCGTCTTGTACATACCAGTTGCGTTGCTTCTGGGAGTATGGGTTCGAGTCACTTCTGGGGTGTGAGTTTTCAGTTGCATATTGTCCAGGGGACCATTCTGGCTTGTTCGCATTTGTGTTCCTCACGTGTGCCCCTAAGAATGAGGTGATTTGGTAAAATGCTATGCCCAAGATAACTATCCGAGTGCCGGCGGTGGGGTGGTTCAAATAGCCTCGGCTATCACCTCATTTTGTCCGGTCGTGATGGTCAAGTGGATTAAGGCGTCTTGTACATACCAGTTGCGTTGCTTCTGGGAGTATGGGTTCGAGTCACTTCTGGGGTGTGAGTTTTCAGTTGCATATTGTCCAGGGGACCATTCTGGCTTGTTCGCATTTGTGTTCCTCACGTGTGCCCCTAAGAATGAGGTGATTTGGTAAAATGCTATGCCCAAGATAACTATCCGAGTGCCGGCGGTGGGGTGGTTCAAATAGCCTCGGCTATCACCTCATTTTGTCCAGTCGTGATGGTCAAGTGGATTAAGGCGTCTTGTACATACCAGTTGCGTTGCTTCTGGGAGTATGGGTTCGAGTCACTTCTGGGGTGTGAGTTTTCAGTTGCATATTGTCCAGGGGACCATTCTGGCTTGTTCGCATATATATATATATATATATATATATATATATATATATATATATATATATATATATAAAATGTATGTTTTGTGCCCTCCCAGGAATAAATGCATAAACCTGTATTTTATTAGTGTTCTCTTTCTTTTCCAAACCATCCAGCGCCTTCAGGAACAATTAACTGCAGACAACCTTCCCGAGATGTACGACACGTGTGTTCTCTTTGAAGACACCAGTCTCCTTCATAAGTGCACCAAGGTATGTACTGTTTACAGCAGATTAATATATTTAATACATAATTTAGGATTACACTAAAATAAATAAATAACAATTATATATTTTCTGGGGGGAGCCCCTTCGGCTTCCCGAAGCTATCCAGGCTGATATGTATATCCTTAACCTTTGGCATCAGTAGGTGTTGATGGAGTTCTAGGCCTACCAGGGACCATGGCCAGAGTCTGGCCCCCTCAGAGAAGCATGAGAAGCAATGGCCTATAGAAATGCACACGTTATTTGATGCATTCAGTATCTGCCATCGACCGGGACAGGCACCCAGAAAGGTAAGTGCCTCAAATCAAACCTCCCATTCTGGTGAAAACCAACGAAAATAGCCAAACAAGTGTACAGAACACCCCAATTGAAAATGAGCAATCAAGCATGATATCACACGAGCTGCGCCGTTTGTCTGCACAGCTCCCCCCTCCTCGGGAGCGGGAAGGGGGAGCCCCAGACCCACTGCACTGGCGATCCAACTACTAGTTCTCAGGCTGATGTGATATGGCACGGTTGAGTGGCTCCAGCTCCGGTTTCTTTTGCTGTGCTGTGCTTGGTGTTCGGTACTGCTTTTACAGTGGCGTGCGAGCTGGGAGTAATATTCCCAGGTACTCGGGCTGTACCTGGTATGTGCTGAGTGTTATCTACCCGCAGTGCCATGTAAGTACCACCCTTGGGGCTTGGGGTTCTCTTCCACAAGTCACCTTGGGGTATCTCTCTCTCTCTCTCTCTCTGGTCTTTTGCTGCTTGGTAATTGACTGCCCTGAGTGTTGTTTTTTTCTGGGGGGAGCCTCGTCGGCTCCCCGGAGCTTTACCAGGCTGATATGCTAATGTCAGACTTTGGCATCAGTCATGTGTATGGAGTTCTAGGGCCTACCGGGAACCACAGCCAGAACCTGGTCCCCTCAGAGAGGCAAGGGGAGCAATGGCCTATAGAAAGCCCCGTGTGGTTGGAAGCATTCTATGTCTGCTATCGACTGGGTCAAGCATCCAGAAAGGTAAGCACTCCAAAACAAATCCCTATTCTGGTTAAAATTGCTACCAAAAGCCGAACTAGTGGACAGAACTCCCCAACAAAAAACAAACCAGCATGACGTCACACATCACCGCGCCGCTGTCTGCGCAGCTCCCCCCTCCCCGGGAGGGGGAAGGGGGAACCCCAGACCCCCCACGTCGGCTATCCGCCCATCAGTTCTTCAGCTGATGCTATAGGCCCCAGTTGTGTGCTCCGGCTCCAGTAGTTGTTTCAACACTGTACCTAGAGTGTGGTGTCTGTCTTCTAGGTAGTGCGTGAGCCGGGAGTAAGTCTCCAGTTCTTGGGCTGCAAGCGCCTAGGGTTCTCTTCCCTAGGTGCCCTGTAAGTTCTGCCCCTGGGGCTTGGGGCCACCTTCCACAAGTTCCTTGTGTTCTGCCCCTGCTAGGCCGTTTACTGCTTGGTTTTTGGCCACTCTTTGTGTGCTCGGGTGTTCTGTGTCCCTTGTTCGCCTTAGGGTAAGGGGCAGTTTTGCACTGGTGGGGCGCAGGGTACTGTGCAGCTTGTTTTTACCAATCATGGCGGCCGGCTCTGTTCCGTTTGGGTACGCTGTCCTCTTGCGGGGTTTTCTTTTTCTTTTTGTTTATCTACCTGGTGAGGAGTCTACCTTCGTTCTTGCCCCTTGTGTCCCTTGTGTTTTGAGTATTTTTCTGGTGGTACCCCCTGCTAGGTCCCCGTGAATGTACACGTCCCGGGGGTTCAGCTCTTAGAAAGTTGTTTGGTAGCTTTGGGCGCCGGTTAGCAGTACCCTGCCTGGGATTACCTGAGCACGAATCCTCTTATAGTAAATGCTCGGGACCCTGGGAAACCCCTGGGGGCACGGGGGTCCGATGGATGTGACCTCAGAGTTCCTCCTTGCTTTGAATTTGAGGTTTGCTCTCACCCTTTGTCTCTGGGTGACTCTCTGTTTTGCCTCTGTCTGCTGCCTGTGGGGTCGGTGACACCTTCGACCCGGTGTCCTGCGAGTTTTTGTTGCTCGTTGTGGCTCGGTTACCCAGTTGTGCTGACTAAGCGGGTGCGGGCAGCAGAGGCGTTGCACTTGAGCCTTGGTGGTGGCAACGCTCTCGTTTGTTTGCTCCCTGGGAGCCCCGGGGCTGCCCCGTTTTGGTTCGTGTTGGGACTTTAGGGTGTATGTTGCTTCAGTTCCTTCCACGCCCCCTTGTCTTTTCCTGGGCCCCCCCTACCTGCCTACATCCGGTTCCTCACCGTCTGTGGGTTTGGGGCGAGGTTGGATGGTTTTGAGACTCGGGCAGTCTCGGGGAATTCCCCTTCCGGGGCAGTAACGGGGCATTTGAGCCTGTTCCTCCAGCCGTGTTGTAAGAGTCTGCCAGTGGGCTCCCTTCCTTAGTGTTTTCGCGGCTGCCCCGGTTTTCTGGTACGGCCGGGGCTTTGGGGGGACGGCTCGGCCCCGGGGCCTGTTGTGTAGGTTCCCGGGGCTGGGGAGGGGCTGACTCTGGGGCCTTGGCCCCGTAAGACCCCGTGGGGGTTTTTCTACCCCTCTAGGCGGGGCTTGTGGATACACAGAGTGGGGTTTTTCCTCCCCACTCGCCGTACGTGTTGTTAGGCGTCGGCCCCTCCCCGGGCTCGGTTCCTTGGCCTTTGAGTCGGTTGGTTCCGTCCTGTGGGTGGATGCTCCCCCCTTTTTAGGACGGTGTCTTCGTCATGTTTCCCCGTTCATGGGGTTCTACGTGACTTCTGGTCTCGGGTGCGCCTGTGCCTTTGTGTGCCTTCGGGACTGGTGTTTGCTTCTGTGTTCTCGAGGGGTCGGGAGGGTTTTTGCTACTTCCCATATTATTGGAACGTCTGTCGGCTCCTAGTCCGGTTCGCCGTTTTGGGCTACTTGTAGCTGTTGACCAGACCACACAGTAGAAGTTGAGAAGAAACAGAAGAAGTTTCAACTTCCAGTGTGTGGTCTGGTCAACATACTTCAGCCACGTTATTGTGACTCATCGCCTACTTGTAGCTGGTTGGGCTGCTCGTGGCCCGGTTGGGTTCCCTTTGGGCTCTTTGTCTTCGCATAGTTGACCGGTTTTGTTGTTCCTTCTTCCTCTTTTGGCTACTTTTCTAGTGCAGTAGTCCTAGTTGGCGCCTTCCCGCAGAGCGGGTTGTGCAGTTCGGCCAGTGTGTCATGCGCATGCGCCGTGGAGTTTGTTATGGTCTGGGCGGTGTAATTACCTAAGTGTAACTACCTAAGTGTAGTTACAGGATGAGAGCTATGATACCTGGTTGATGGGGTTCTGGGAGTTGTTCTACTCCCCAAGCCCGGCCCGAGGCCAGGCTCGTGGTGTCCCGTCTTCCCAGCACTCTTTGTCATATAACACTTTGAAACTACTGTACTGACTGTCTTGGCCTCCACCACCTTCTCACCTAACTTGTTCCAACCGTCTGCCACTCTGTTTGTGAGAGTGAATTTTCTTTTATTTCTTCGGCATCTGTGTTTAGCTATTTTAAATCTATGACCTCTTGTTCTTAAAGTTCCAGGTCTCAGGAAATCTTCCCTATCGATTTTGTCAATTCCTGTTACTATTTTGTATGTAGTGATCATATCACCTCTTTTTCTTCTGTCTTCTAGTTTTGGCATATTTAATGCCTCTAACATCTCCTTGTACCTCTTGCCCTTCAGTTCTGGGAGCCACTTAGTAGCATGTCTTTGCACCATTTCCAGTTTGTTGATGTGCTTCTTTTGTTTCAGTGCTGGTGTTTTGCTCCCTTTTTTCTCGGGAGCTTCGCCTCTTGCTCTTCTCCCTTACTCCGGTATGTGCCCCTTCGCTCCAGGGGTGTCCTGGTTTCCAGCTGTGGGGAGGACGCCGAGGTTTTCCCTGTGTCATGGGTGTGGGCCGCCTCCTTTGCCTCTACCCTGCTCTCCTGCGTGTCCGGCTCTGGCTTCTTTACCTGGCGGTGCTCCCAGGATCGTCTGGGCACTGTTGGGTCGTGTCACGTTCGTGCCTCCGTTCGACAGGTGAGTTTCTGCGGTCTAGCATCTTTTGGCCGGGAGCTGGATGCGGAGATGTTTATATACGTGTCTTTATTTAGGTATATTTATGTACGACTGAGACCGTTCGCACACCAGTGACTCCGTTTTCAACCCTTCCTGTCCCTCTCATGTGCATGTCCAACCCATGCTAGAGTCATTCAGGGGACCCACCTCTTTCGTGTTATGAGGTACTCACCTAATTGTACTCACCTAATTGTGCTTGCGGGGGTTGAGCTTTGGCTCTTTGGTCCCGCCTCTCAACTGTCAATCAACTGGTGTACAGATTCCTGAGCCTACTGGGCTCTATCATATCTACATTTGAAACTGTGTATGGAGTCAGCCTCCACCACATCACTTCCTAGTGCATTCCATTTATTAACTACTCTGACACTGAAAAAATTCTTTCTAACGTCTCTGTGGCTCATCTGGGTACTAAGTTTCCACCTGTGTCCCCTTGTTCGTGTCCCACCCGTGCTGAAGAGTTTGTCTTTGTCCACCCGTGCTGAAGAGTTTGTCTTTGTCCACCCTGTTAATTCCCCTGAGAATTTTGTAGGTGATTATCATGTCTCCCCTTACTCTTCTGTTTTCCAGGGATGTGAGGTTCAGCTCCTTTAGCCTTTCCTCGTAGCTCAATCCTCTCAGTTCCGGGACGAGCCTGGTGGCATACCGCTGAATCTTCTCTAACTTTGTCTTGTGTTTAACTAGGTATGGACTCCAGGCTGGAGCTGCATACTCCAGGATTGGTCTTACATAAGTGGTATACAGGGTTCTGAAAGATTCCTTACACAAGTTTCTGAAGGCAGTTGTTATGTTGGCCAGTCTAGCATATGCCGCTGATGATATTCTTTTGATGTGGGCCTCTGGGGACAGGTTCGGTGTGATATCAACCCCCAGATCCTTCTCTCTATTTGATTCTTGCAGGATTTCCCCTCCCAGATGATACCTTGTGTTCAGCCTCCTGCTCCCTTCGCCTAATTT